CAAAATGGCGTTGAAATGTGCGCAACCATCAAAGAGCAAGTCTCCATTTCCAAGTATCTGAAGGAAGTTATTTTTAATTTTCTGGAAGTCGGAGTAGCAACATAATTTCTTTTAGTTGCCTTTAATTTCACTGAGTTCCGAGATATGCGTGCAAAAATCGATTTCTAAAACGATTTGGTATAAATAATAAATTTGTAAATTATAAATTGTTGGGAAAGAGAGCGAGCTGTCGGCGGAAATATACATTTCCTTAGCTTCGGGTATATAGAGCATATTTGAAAACTCAAAATTCTTAAGATTTTGAGATTTATGGCTACTAATATCCTGTCACGGGATTAATTCACTTCAACAGAATCATGCTACCCTATTTACTTAGCTCTCTCCACTGAGCTGTGCCCGATTTCTGCTCCACTTTGTTTCATATCTTAAAGTAGTCTAGCAAAGGGCAAACTTTAATTTAGCGACAAAAACAGTAAGGAATTCTGCTAAGGGTATCATCCGGACGGCGCACTCGTGTATCGTGTATTTTATAGTTGTTTTTGTTGCCATAACTTGAAATTGTTCTGCAAGAAGAAAGCATATTTTTTTTGCTAAATATATTTTTATTATATCTCGAATGCTTGAGTGGCTCGAATGGCGCCTGGTTGGCCGCCTGTCAGGCATCGCTTCTGTATGCTTTTTATGGTTAGCTAAAACAACAACTTGTATTGCTTAGCACTTTTTTTTTTTTGGAAGAAGCAATGACAATCAGCTGGATGACGTGCGAATTGTGGATCGCGTTCATGGTATATGTTATTTATAGAGGCAAAATCTTGGCCAGATGTGTATTACTAATTTCATTGAAGTTTTAATTTTTTATGGCCAACGATTTGAACTTTGCACAGAGAGAGAGAGAGAGAGGGAGAAACTTAAGCTGCAAAGCAATGTGAGGAGCTAAAAGTAATCACCTTGGCATTTCCAATTGATTTGGCAGACGGGGCCAAGAGAAACCAAGCACCAAATGGAAACTGTTATTTCACGCAATTACACAGCACAGCAGAAACAATGTTTGAAGCCGGAACAGCAGGACACGGAGCAGCGGCCACCCACGGGCATCGAATTTATTGGCAACTGACCGCAGACCTAAAACTTAATACACATTCAGTGGCTTTTGCTGCCGGCAAGATTTACGGATAGGAACCCGGACCTGGCCCTTGTCGCAACTTGAGCGCGTGCGACGCGTGATAAACTGAAATAATTGTCCCCCGGGGCAGACGCGACCGCCAAGCTGTCAATACTGAAAGCGCGACAGTTGCATCTGCCCCTGATGCCAGCTGCCAGTTGCCAGTTGTCAGCTGTTCTCTTGGTCCTTGTCTGCGAAGTGAACAAGAAAATTGACTTAAACCCAAATGCAGATGCCGTGGGTTGCATCCACAAAGCCAGCTCAGCTGCTGGCAATTTGTCAGGCCGCCGAGTAAATCTAATATTTATTTTTTCATTTCACATTCCTGAGCAGTACATGCAAAACATGCAAAAAAAGTAAGAAAATATGAAAAATCTGGCGCGTGCCATTGTCAAATCTGAATTTGGCAAAGTCAAGTAGGGGCGTTGCAGTGGCAAAAGAAATCGCATTGCAATAAAAATGTGCGCCATGTCCCAGGAAAGTGTCAAAGCAATATGTGGGGAAAGCAAGATGGATGTGTGTTTGTTTTGATATCTAAACACTGGCAAATATTCAACTTGACATTAAACTAAAATCCCTTCTTTGTTCATTCTCATTAATTACAAAAATTTGATTTGCTGATGTTTTGACTTGTAAGTTTAATGGATAAGACAATCGACTTTTATAAGCTCATTTTCTTAAGCGAAGATCACAATTTCTAGATTTTATCGCCCAATGTAACTATATATAGTTTAAAAGGCCTATAATATTAATGTGACACTTGTATAAGAAGTTGATTAATCGAAACAGGTGAAAAACTGACAAGAACTCAATTTGTGAAAACACAAGAGCTCCAGCATTGTTTCTATTTTATCGCCATCTTTGACATTTATGAAAGTAGTTTAGTTCTCAATAGGGTGGAAAACGTCTGAAAGTATTATGTTTTAACAGTTGGTGATATTGTTGTTTTGTGTGGATATTTCCGCTCAGCCTCGCTAGTCTGGACATTGTTGCTTCATTGCCAAGTGCTTTATCAATGTCAATCGCTGGCGCTGCGCTAGACGCAGTGACCTTTCTGCTTGACCAGTTGTTGAGCTCAGAAACATCAAAAACACATGTCTGTACAACAAGAAAAGTTTAGGGTAAGCCTGCAAAAAATTTGGTAGAAAATTCAAATGATTGACAAACATAAAGAATCGCGTATGACATAAAGAACAAATTTGTGGTATTAAATGGCAAGCTTATATTTTTGAAAATGGTTGGAAATTTCCATAACTGCGTCGCTGGCGTCGTCTGCAAAGTTTCCTCTGCCTGGCCTATTATTTGGCCGTATTTAGTTTTTGGCAGTGTTTTTATCACATTCATGGGGCCGAGCAAAATTTCCATAAATATTATTTTAATGTTTATTGCTTTCGCTGCGCAAATGCTGAACATAATAATGGCTGGTGTAGATTCGCCCAACTGCGACGGCGCCTTGACCCTGCAAATGGGTGCAATCGCCAAATCGACTGCGATCTCAACCATTTGCCAGCTGCCTATTGTCTGTGACAGCCATGTGGCGTGGCTTATCAACTGTTAAATGACTGCTTTGTAATACTGTTTGGTTAACGGTGAGGGCAAGGGATACATTTGGTTTTATGTTTTTGACATTGTTAATGCGTCCCTTTGGTTACCGGCACGACCTTAGTGGGCTAATCAAAAACAGCTTACCTGCCACCATGTTGTTGCCAAATCCTTTGGTGGCAGACAAAACAACAAAGCGCAAGCTAAGCACAACGCCCAGTGACAGCAGCTCGGAAAATATCGCCGGAAACGGAAGCGCGCGATGTACAGTGCGTGCTCAGTTTACGTCCTATAACGACCATCAACACAAAGTGGTCATAAATCAGCAACCAGTTTTGACGGAAATTTAAGCCAACAGCCAAGACCAAAGCAGCCGGGCGGGCCACAACTACTGGACTTGAGATGAGGAAGCCTCAAAATAAAATATATTAAAGACACAAAAGGACTGCAAGAAAAGGTTAAAGTCGATAAGAAGCAAGCAATCAGAGTGGGCATTTTTGGACTTATTTTAAGACTTTCGTGGAATTTGGATTTATAGTAGCGCATTTAGTGAAACGAAAGGAAATGGGCTTTGTAAATAAACAAATCACTAAGCCAATTCAACTAGAAGTTGCCGTGCTTGAGCTCTAGGCACAGATGTGGTTGTTGTGATGTCTACAAATTAGGATTGTGGTGTGGACAAAGGGTAAGCGGAATAAGTTTATAAAATATTAAATAAGTTTAATTAAATTCTTTGATATTTTTGAAGTTGAGTCAGCAAGTGGTTGCTCAATATCGATGTGCAGCAATCGTTGAATAATATACGCAGCTTTCCACAGGCCACAAGTTAATAATGGGCTTCTTGTGGCGCCACAAATAAGAGAGCTCAATAGTGTGCATGCGTGTTAGGGAACACTTAGGCATGAATTTATTGGCTCGAATATGCACAAATCTAAATGAACCCTTTGCCGAACCGTGCCCCAGACACAAGCTAGCACACTCCGAAAAACACGCCAGCACAATTGACACATTTACACTGTCCAATTGGTATTACTTACCTTTGTCCAGGCAAATTCTGAACTGTGATTTAGACGCCTCGCCAGGGGATCAATACGTAGCACTGGAAATCCGTACGGCACACCATAAAAAAAACGGACGATGACGATTTTCGAGCTGAGCAATCAGCGCCTGCAGTGTGTCAGTGCCCACACACACACACGCAGAAGTTGCTGTGCGGCCATTTTGTGCGCTTTGCTTTAGCCTCGGCGCTGGCTTTGGCCTTCCGTGGCAGTTGGCTGCGATAAATGGTAAACGGAAGTGTGCGCAACGATCCGTATCCTGACATTTGCATAAGAGATGAAAAAAAAAAATACATTGCCAAAACGGAAACAAGTTTATTTTCGATATTTTTGGCTGGCGCAGTTCCTTTTCAAGTAGCTGACTAAAATTAAAAAGGCGGGCGTCTTGCAATTTGTGCTCATATGTGCGACTTGTGCGCGACTTGTCACACAGTGAACTGACAACCTGACTGTCAAGTTTAAAGGGCAGGGATAAAGCAACACAGAATTCCGCAATACGCATATATTACGCATGTTTTATGTTGAATTAGGCATACCTAATGTCTGCGGGGGTAGGCGCCCACAGCCCCCCGCCCATTGAGTAAAATGTAGCTACATAAATGTAAAAGCAATCGCGTGGGCCACAGGAATTACGAGACAATATGCCAGTGGGGCGGACAGGGCAGCCATATGCCACCAGCAGCAATTTGTCGTTAAATCAAATCAACGGTACATTAGTCGCATACTCACGCCCAGCCAGTCGTTGGGGCGGACAGTGGGCACAAATAAAATAACCAATTAGTAAATATTCAAAAATATCAAAGGAAAGAATAAAAGCACTTGTCTTTTAGCTAATCAAACGGCAAATACAAATAAAGTTTTAAGACTTTTAGGTTTCTCTAAGTTTCTCTATGCAGAGATTGAAAAAGTTACATTAATAACAAATTTATGTTTCTTCTTGATTGAAAAGAAAAATAGTATTTAATGCTTATGACTGAGTTTTACCAAAGGTAAAGGTAAGGTAAGGTTCTTCACCTAACACCTGCACTTGTTAAAGAGTTTTTGTGCCACTGTGCGTGAACAACACATCTAATGACTAACGAGCAGCAACAAATAAATATGTAAATATATTACACACACACAGCGTATATAGAAAATAATTTGGTAACCTTGCCACATGGCGTTGCTTTGAACTCTGTTCCGACTCGAGCTCCAGCTCTGACTCCGGCTGTTTCATCGACTAGGCACAGAAAATAGGCTAAGGCTTTTGAAAGTTATTTATTTGCATATGAATGTCGGCCGAAATGTGATACAGATACATTGGCTGTATTCCAGGTGGCAATTTGAGAGGCAGGTGTTTTTGCAGAGCACAACAGGGCGCCGCATGGCGGTGTGTATTGAAACAATCTGGTTGTCTTGGTAGGGGGGGCACTTGCCTTGGGATCCCTTGGCTGAGTGCGCTTTAGGCAGCCTTAATGTTAATTGAATTAACTGTTAAAGGCTTAGGGAGAGCGCACGTGCCGCTGTGTTGCGTGCCACAGTTGACACGGGTCAGCGACTCTGACAGCCACGTGCGACCTACAAGAGCTGGGCATCACGCAGTTCCGGGTGCTCCACGGGCTTCACAATAGTAATGCAACGCAGATTCTCAATCTTGCCCAAAATTGTACTCTTCAGCTCCTCGAAAGGATGCCGAAGCCGCACCAACTGCGCATCGTCTCGCCCCTGGAAAAGCGTCTCACCCTGGAAGTCAATATACTTGTGCTTGCGGGCGCACAGCAGCGTGCCCAGCAGCTTGTCGGAGATGTGATTGTATATCTAAAAGGCAATTGGTGTAGCAGACATATATATGTATATAAAACAGATATATAGAAAGATAGAGAGCCCACCTCAAAAAGTACGCCAAATGTGAGGCTAACCTCTGGCGTTCCATCGGCTGCTGTTTTTTCGCCATTTTCATTGATCAGCTCGCACAGCTGCAGTATCTCCTGGAGCGATAGCACCTGTGCCTGTAGCGCCCGCTTCTCGGAAAGACTGCCTGCTGGTGGGGTGCCGTAGAATTCCCTGTGAATGCTACGCTTGGGCATATCGCGCACGCTATAATGGGCAAATGGATTGATGCGCTGCCACTGCTGATGCTCCTCAACTTGCTGGTTGAACAACGTGATGCGCGACGAAACGCTGTTCTCCTGGGATCGGATCACAAATTAGCAGTCGCCCCTATATATATATATCTATATTGTGGTATCCAAACCTACCCCTGTGCTCTCCTTTGCCGTCATTTTATGCCCTTAAAATTTGGTGAACTTTTTTTTTTTCGTTATTAATGAAATAAAAACTGTTGATGTTTTAGTTTCCCCTCTCTCTCCGCCCTAAAAATAAACGCCTGCTATCTATGTCAAATGTGGCGCACAGTTTGCGCAACCGCTGTCCAAACAAATCAACGGCCTATCGACGGGCAACACACTTGACTGCGGGTCAAGTCTAATCCTCATCGATAGCCAGCTGGCTGAGTTAATGGCACGCATTAGCGTTGAAGGGCAACAATTGAAAGGTCAAAAGTTTGTCGCAGCACAGCCCCAATTAATCTGACCAATAGAATAGCCTTAAACTTAAAGCCGTGTCCTGCGGCAAACCATGTGGCAAATACTGCGGAAACTGGCAGCGGACAATGCCATAAATTCTGACCCACAATGGCGCGTTGGCGGGCGGAAGTATTCGAGCTTAGTAGACCAGGAAATACAAAACAAATTCAGAGAGCGACTGTACGCAGCAAGAAAATTAATGAAACAAACCGGCGAAAAACCAAAGAAAAAACATAAAAACCAACTGATAACTATCTTAACTTTGCCGCTACCTAAATGCTCTCACCAATCTGAAGAAACACTTAAGCAATTTGGTCGAACAGCTTAAATACTTAATTAAGTATACCTTCAGTTCAGCTTAATTGGATTTCTTTGCCTGGGTAGGGTGTAGGAATGCGAGTATAACATATTTGTAAAAAAGATTCAAAGCTGAGTGCGATAGGGATATGCAAGATTATGGATATAATATAAAAAAGTATAATTCAAGTATTAATTTAAAAAAAGAAAATTTGTAAGGATTATATTTTGGTATTTTTTCCAATACCAAGCAACACTTAAATCATTGCAGCGCTAAAATTTAAATCTTTTGGAAACTTGGCAATACAAAAACATTAGCGGAAGCTTTATTTAAACACGTATACACAAAAGTTGCCTTAATTGGTAAAAAGAAATATAATAGCACGAAATAGAAATCGAAATAAATCAAACGTATTTTGAATTAAATTCAATGTTGAATTCGCTTTCCTACTTCATTAAAATGGAAACCTAATATAAAACCTAAAATAAAATAATTGAAATGATGTTGCTGTATTAAATATGCCAAACGAAACTAGTTTTTTGTATTAATTATTATTTTGTTCGTCAACTGTGTAATCAAATCCTTTGGGTTTGGGGCGCAAAAAAGTGCGCATAAAATTATTGTATTTATTTAAATATGCATTTTTTATCTCACTCTGAATTTACTCTTTACATTTTATGTCCAGTAAATGGATTTCCTTTAATGCTGATTGCAAATTCAATTGAATGGAATGAAGCTAGTTGCAGCCTTTTTTTTTATCAATTGAATGGTTTTTCTGTATGCCTTGTGGGAATTATTTCAAACGTCAACTTTAATGAGTTCCATTTATATTTGTAGTCTGTGTAAACAGTTCTCATACTTTGCCTTTGCCTCTACCTATTTTTTCCATTTGCCCCTTTACAGGCAACTTGAACTTTAAATAGTTTTTGCCGCTGAGCTGCTTACACGACCCGAGGCTTATCGTGTCCCTCGCCTTCTCCTTTCTACTGCCAGCATTTACACATTCTTAATCCCGCAAATTTATGCACAACTGGACAGCACTGCACCTTTAGGGTGACCATTCGTTCAGGCGTTTAATTGCTCAGTGGGCAGCTTTGCGGATTTGACATAGTTGGCATTCCCTCGGGATAGGGTATTTGAAGCGTTGCTCGACAGACAACTGGCGGATTTGGTGAGACGGCCAAACAAATAGGGGGAAATGCGGAAATGGGGAAATGGCGCCACTTCCGCTTAGCAATAAACATTAATGCGCAATTAAAGCTGGTGTCTGGCATTTGCTGCTACGGGGCTTAGGGCGGGTGTGTCTGCATTTGATTTCCAGCACTTGGGTGTGATTAACTCTTGGCGCCCAGTATTAGCTTTTAGTTATTTATGGGCAACGCTTCGATACGCCACGGCATTCATACGCTGTGCAGCAATTTTAATGCAAACTGTCTGTTGACTTTGATGTTTTGTATACCTTGCCATTTAGCGGAAGTAGCAGAGAATTGAGTTTAATTTAACAGTTGCCATGGCTGCATTTACTTGGCATTAATATTTAAGTTTACCATTTAGATGTTTTTAATTACAGTTTACTGTGAGTTGTTCAGAGACATGGACAACTGCCTCTGCTGAGATTAAAGCAATTCGCGTAACAGTTGCCGAACGCTGACGTCCTGCATTTAAGCCTCTTTGTCAAGTGTGTCTGCAGCTTGTTTGCGCTTTCCAACAAGATTTAGTTACAATTTTTTCCGCCTTCCGTTGTTCCAGCTTGGCACAGGAGTGGAAGTCCTGTTAGAGATGCAGTACTCTCAGTCCCTGAACGAGTCTGCGTTTCAGTCCCAGCTGTGTCAACCCGAGCTCCATGCCACTTCTTCTTTTCAACTGCAACTTATGCTTAAATTTGTTTCATGTTTGTAAAAAAAAAGAAACGAAAAAAAAAAACGCTGCATAATTCAATTTCGAAGGAGAATGCCTTAGCAGTTCATTTGGTTGATAGAGGGTTAATGGTTGGGGAGGCGCTGCGGTATCGCAGTCGAGTGATTTTTATGTGCGCTTGGCAATCGAAGCACGTTCCTCCATAAATTGTTTGTGCAGCTCAGATAGGGTGCGTCTGAATTGGATATTGGATTTTCGAATTGCTGCTTAATTCGCAAAACAGAGCGACACATTTGTTTTGCGAGTGCGTCTGTGTGGTTAACACCTGCTTGCACAGCGTCTAAGTCGAACTATTGACTTTAAAGTCCAATATAAAAATAACTAGACTCGCCGAGAACTTAGCTTAAGTGTATTATTGATAACCTTGGCAGCCGAGACAAGATTTATTTTGGTGACATTGTCTTGTCTGGCCACGTCGAATTTTGATAAATGAACGCACATTCACATTTTGCATATTGGCCAGCCCAACAGTTTGGTTCCCTGCGTTCAGCAGTTCAACGTTTTATGGTTAACAGCTGCCAGTTGCACTTTTTGTTTTTTTTTTCTTAGCTCCATTTGGCGGCTGGCCCCAATGACAAACATCTAATGTGCGCTGTCCACTGAACATAAAAAGAATCAAATCAGGATCCCATGACGATGACCCCGAAACCGAAAAACCAAATAAAACCTGCAGCGAAGGCTAAAGAGAAAAAATGAAATATATATAAAATTAGCTAACGATTCACAGCAAACAAGAATTTTTTACAGTACCGCACGCGTGAATAGTTCCATTTAATAAATACCCTTACCAAAAGGGTATTTGCAGTCTAGGTGACAATTCTGTTGAATATGTCGTCGATCGATAAAATTGTCGGTTGTCTAAGGTTCCTTGTCATTAAGTTCGGTTCGTGAAGCTCGTTTGCTTGGTTCAAACTCTGGCATCGTGTATTCAATATAAGGTAACGATTAAATACATAAGATGTGTCATATATTGGTTCGCTTAGCTAAAATCAATGCGGGAGACCCAAGCTCTTAAAATATTAATGCGAACTAGGAAAATTTAAAATGGATGTAATTCGGTTTGGGTTTCAGTTTGGTTGTATTTTAGGCTTATAGATTGGTTCTTGGCATAAGATAAAGGAAAATTACTAGATAATTCTTTGGCTTAGAGCTTTTCAAACTCTCCCTTGCTAGAGATTTTCTTTAAATGTGGCTCTACAAGCTGAAGCAAAACAAAATGGGACAAGTAAATTCAATAGCTTACTGGGGATGGACATTTTTATTATGTTAGCTATAAACAGTTACAGAATGTGTATTAAGGGCAGGGTATTAAATCTTCGACAAGCGGAAAAATAAACGATATCAGTTTCGTTCTTTATTTGCAATTGACACAAAATGGCGGTTGCTCCGAAAAGTATGCAACAGCAGGCACATATTTCACACAGGCACACACACACACGTTTGCACAGATGATGTGTGTGAAAAATGGTTGAATGTTGCTTGTCCATTGATTTGATTGACACTTTTATTGACACAATGTTTCGTTTGTTTTTATTGTTGTTGTTGTTGTTGTTGTTGTTGCTGTAGCTGTCAAGAGTTTTATGACCTGAGCTTTTAAGCCAATGTTCTGGTGTAGACCGTAAAGATTGTACAATTCGGTTGTGTTTATTCGAATATTTTTGGGCCATGTTTTATTTATTGCACACACAAATTGAAAGGTTACAATTTTTTTGTCTGTTTTGCTTTGAATGGCTAGCTTAAAATAAATATTTTTGATTTTTTAATAATGATATTTGAATTTCTTATTATGCTGCTGACCAGTAAAGAACATTTCATTAAACAAATCTATGCGTGTTGCATACTAATAACAACTGATGTAAATCGCATTTCGCTAACAAACTAATAAGTATTTTTTAATGCTAATTAAGTGTGCGCCTAATTAATATAAATGCAAGTAAAACAAATAAGTTTTATTGAATGCAAATAGTCTGCAACTAATTGCAAACAGCTTTCGCCTATAAAATGTAATGTAAAAACCGCAAACTAAATTGTTTTATGCACAACTTTTTAAAGCGAATTTTAAACGATTTGAATAGAATATAATTTCAAACTCTAAATTGTCTGTTGACCATTTTAATTGGTAACTGAAGTGCTGTGGTGTGCAGAGCAGATAATTAAATTTGTGTTGCCCGTAAAGTGGCTGCAATGAAATATCATGACATTCGCATTCTCTCATCTCGCGGAGCACTCTACCCCCCTTTTTTTTTTATTTAATGCCTGTCCATAACAATAAGGCCAAACGCACTCGTAAAGTATGACATTTGTGGCCCATTGCGGCCAGCTTAGAAGGCATTCGTACAATCGTTGGGTAATTAATCAGGCTTCATTTTCACTTAATCGCGACCATGATTTGCACGCAACTGCTGCTATGGAATGTATACGGAATTTTCTCTTATTTAATTCGCATTTTCGTTATGTTTATTTTTTCTGTGTGGTAGAAGGGGGGGATGGTTGGGTGGGCACACAGCATGTGGCAAGCCATGCGCCAAATTATTGCCGCGTCCTTGGTCAGCTGCGTCCAATAATAATAATAAAA